CATTATGTTCATCAAAGTGTCAACAAGCATATTAATCACACTCTCCCTATAATGTTGTATAAGAGCTTAAATAAGATTTAAGTGACAATTCAATGTAGTGGAATGTATGAAACAGAGTCTCAATTAATTCCTCTTCACGTTAAAACCTTAAGGATATATCTTGGACAGCACCCATCTACCTTAACAAAGAGCACATTTTTAAAAAACATGAAAGAAATTTAAGTATTTATTATGGACATTGTGTTTAATGTTCTCACAGTCTATAACAAATATGTTCCTATCTATGATAATAATCATCATTCCTCTCCCTACATCCCTCTCAAACTGTCTTGAAAGGATTAACCATTAACATAGAACAATGTTTAATAACTGATATTTTGGATCTTGTTTGAGTTCAGTTCTGAAGGGTAGGTAATTAAGATAGGGTAGACATTAAGAGAGAGCCTCATAGTTCACAAGGACTCTAATTATGTGGACATCAAATCAAGCTGAGCCCTTAAAGAAAAGCATGTCTCTTAAGTTTAACTTACAATTTAAATTTTAGATCTCATCAATCTCTGTAGTGATAACTTTTAAAAATTAAGAATTTCATTTAAATGTGTAAGTCTGAAGACATACTACAAAAAAAATCTTGAAAAACTCATAGCTAAAAATGAATTTAGGGACATGAGAGCATACAGTAATCAGAATCACACAGATGTCTCTAGCCACCTGTAACCATTTCTTGGTAATCAAGCTAAGACCAATTAAATGTATTATAATAGACCTGCTACACCGAAAAAGCAGACACAGGTCTAAATCTCAAATCAAGAAGAAACAAATATCAAGGAATTAAAGTCTGTTTGGTTTATATTTCTCCTCCAAAAGACCAGAGACAATTATTTATAATGCCCCAAAGGGATGACTATTACTCAATTAACAAATGTATTCGTTTTCATAAATTTCCTTGAAAAGCCCAATTTCACAATGAAAAACAGACTTTTCAAAAACACACATGCATATATTTGAATGGCAGAAGTCCTTCAACAATGTGCCTTAAGATAGAACTTGTAAATAGACTAATCTGATAAAATAATAAATGGTTTATCAAAGAACACAGTGTCAGATCTTTAAATGTGATGTTTTCAAACATATGCTTAGCCTCTCTCTCTCTCTGTGTGTGTGTGTGTGTGTGTGTGTGTGTGTGTGTGTGTGTGTGTGTATGTGTATATGGAGTGTGGGGGGGTTGCTGTCAGAAATGTCATTAAATAGGTTGTCAGAATAAATGAGTGTGTGTGTGTATATACACACACACACACACACACACACACACACACGTAGGTCTTGAGTTGATGTTTCACATGTGTTTATTTTGATGACAAGAGCATACGGAAGGATTTAGAACCAAAGCCCAGTTAAAATCCTTTGATAATTAGGCATATGGTCATTCAGACTTCAAAGCACTGATCCTGTTAGATCCCATTAGATTTAAGATGTCTACATGTTCCCACTAGTAGGGACACAAATACAAGAAGGTGATGTACTAAAAGTCACTGTCAAGAATGTGTTGTTTCCTTCAAGAGGTGTCCCTTGAGAATATTATGTCTAATAAGGCAAATTACTTAAAGGTCACAACTATTTGAACTGTCAATTTTTATAAAGCACAATGAACACCTAACAGAGACATGTAGTTTAGAATTTATTTTACATAGTGAGACTTAATTCTATTCAGGCATTTTTTCAACTGTTCTTATTCAGAAACACCAAGATTCTCTTCATCTACCCATTCAAAAAGAGTAAAAATGCCCATTTGTTACTTGTTATCTCACTCCTTTTCTAAAATCTCAAAGTTTTTATAAGGTGTACAAGCTTTATCACATGAAAATGTTCCTGTTACAACTACTATTTCTAGAAATCAAGTTGACATGATAAAAACATACTTCACTATGACATAATGGCTTAAACTGAAATGACTGTCTAGTAAGTTAAAAAGTTAAATGCATAAGTTAAATTTGTAAGAAAAAACTAGTAGGCATCTCAAACAATATCTGATTTTTCACCTTCACTATGTTTTTGCTATTTTTAAATATAAAAGTTTGGTAATATATTAAGTGATTTATAAATATTTTTAAAGAAAAATTGCTTTGAACATGCTCCTGAAAAATACTCATGGTAAATCACCAACTATTTTAAGAGGTGACTAGCATATCATCAAAAAAAAGTAGTACATTGAGTTAAGACACAGTGTTTCCAGGTATTTTAGGAAATTCTCATATTCATGCAGTATCACACATCTCATATATATTTGAAGCAGTATGGGGAATCCATAAATTAGTGATCCAGATTATAGATCAATATGTAGCCCCCAACTATTTTAAGCTGATATAGCTGTACTTTATATAAGAGAGAGAACTTTTCACTCGTTAGAAACCACATGAAAGTATTCACCCAAAAATGATGCTATGTCCCATTTTACTTTCAGGTAGGGAGGTTGAGAGATGCCAAACTTCAGGGCCTCTAAACTCATTTCTTCAATTCTGCAGTGACTGTTTTAAAGAACACCAGCCAAGTTGTGACATTCAAAAAGGGGCAAATTCAAGCAATTACATCAGCTACAAAGAAACAGAAGACTCCTGTTTCAATACCCTTCTACTAGCTCTCAATTACCATTCATAAAAAACTAAATGAAACCTCCCAAAAAGGAGTGAGGAGGTATAATTCAAGTGTAGGCTCCTTAGCATAGCCGGTAACTTGGAAGTCTATGATCAGCTGCATGCTAATCAATCAACCAACAAGTTTTTATTAAGCACTTACTAGTTTCCCCACACTACTAGAGACTACATATCTAAGACAGCCTCCATTCCCACATTCCCATTTGGAACTTTCTGAACTAGAATTAACAGCACCCTATAATTCCTTTGGAAAAGCTTTCTATTCTTCCTCTCCAAAGCGGATCTGAGACATAGTGCCCCTACTTAAGCAAGTAGCTTAAGCCCTGGAATGGGATGAGCATGACAGAAATGGTGAAATAAAAGCATTTATTTAAACAAGCAGGAGCAGCCAGGAAAATTCTCTATGGAATTGAGGGTGGATAGGAGCTGAAGGAGAGATGTGAAATCCTGGTTTGTGGCAAACAGTGTAGAGAAATACACTGCATAAGGCTATGAAAATTCTGCACATCTAACCAATTCCTAAATCAAGCGAACAGGGTTTCAATATGAAGGTTCTTAGTCTGCAGGAGCCAAAATAAATAAATAAATAAATAAATAAATAAATAAATAACGTAGAGATTGCAGGGGTTGAGGGGGCAGGAGAAGAAAGATTAGTAATGCAATGCAAAAGTCATTCATTGAGGAAAAGGAAAGGATGCAGGTAATACAAGGAGAATGATCCTGGGAGATGAGAGGTTCAAAAGTAAATAGCCAATAGATTGATCTTACTTTTCAATATTCTCAAACCAGCAGGCTTTTTTAACACTAGAGGGCATGACAGAAAGACAGACAGAGACAGACAGAGAGAGAGAGAGACAGAAAGAGAGAGAGAGAGAGAAAGAGAGAGAGAGAGGCTGACTCTGAGGAAAGGCAGCTTTCACATAAAGCTGAAAACACGCAAGGAAACCAGAAATTTCAAGGGGGCTTTGGCAGCCAAGTGGCTTTAGCCTTGCAAATAAAACACAGGTTGTTAGGCGGTTTCAGGGAAGGCTGACCATGATCTCTCCAAGGAAACCGCTTTCCTAAGCATTGAATGCATGGCATTTTAAATACCTCAGTCCCCAAAGCTCCTCTCCTCTGCTAGCAACACCTTTGCCTGAAGAAACCTCCCACCCTTTTGAGGTTAGTTTCCCTGAACCCCAAAGCATCTATGTTTGCCTGCCCCACTCTCCGTTCTCCTGCAGCTGACTAGAAAGGTTGGGGAAGCAGACTCTCCACCTGGAAATTCAAGTAAGCGTAGTCAGAGAATCGGGTCTGCGGGAGGGGCTTGCGCAGCTTTCGCTGTCCAGAGTAGCAGCCTCGGTGCGCTCAGGCTCGCGGCAGCGCAGCGCCCTCGGACCGGGCGAGGGGAGCCCGCCGTGGCGCCCTCCGCTCTACCCCTTGTACCCCTCATTCAGGTCCACGACAGCCCGGACAAGGGCAGGCTGTCTCCGTCCCCGCTGGCCCCAAGCAGGGAAGTCTATGCACGTGGAGATGCCCGTTAGATGGGCCAGGGCTTGCTCCCCTAACCAAGGCACTAAGGGATCAGGGGGCTGGTGTTGGGGAAGACCAGGCAAGGAGATGACAGAGGGAGACACGTAAGCTGCGAGAACCAGACACACAGAGAAAACAAATGCTGCAAGACGGAAAGACAAGCGAAAAGACAGATTAACGGGGACACAGACATCCCAAGACAAACAAGGGGAAACAGAATAAGCGAAAAAAGCAGATACATGACCGGGGAGTGGGGGCTGAGGGGACCAAGAATCAGAGAGAAACAGAGGCAGAGACATACATGGAGAGAATCAGAGGCAGGAGGACTCTGAAAGAGCCAGGCAAATAAGAGGGCAACCGTCGAGGAGGAAGACACCCAAGACCCAGGGAGCGTCTGGTGTCAGGTCGAGTAGAAACGCCCGCACCGCAGCTGAGGCTGGAGCTGTTGCGAGAAAGTTGCCTGGGCTCGCAGGCCGAGCCACCCCCGCCGCGGAGCGCCACCAGAACACTGAGGGGCCAGAGCCCACCCCCCACCCAAACTCAGCAGGGTAGCCGGAAAAGCAGAGGAGAGGTGGGCGGCGGCAGAAAGTTCCGCGCCACGCGGTCCTCCCGCAGCACCTGCAGCCGCGGGCGAGCGCGCTCGGAGCTCCCGGGAGGCCGCCTCGCCGCGTCCGCCCGCGCTCCTGCCTTTGCCCTGGGACCGGCCTGGGGCGCTCGGCTCCGCGCCCTGGCACTCGCCGCCGGACTTTGCGACACCCAGCCCAGTCACTCCAGCAGCCCAGAGGGAGCTCGTCCCAATCACGAGGAAAAGAGGGGAAGCGAGAAAGAGACGGAGACCTGCTATCGTGGCCAACAATCCCGCGAAGAGGGAACAGCAGTCCATGCACGGGATTCAGCCTCCAATCAAGCCCAGCAGACGCCGGCCGGCCGGCCGCGCCGAGTGCGAGGCTCGCCCAGCCCGCGCTCACCTGGAACCCGCGTCGGCCCGCGAGCGCCGCGCGCAGCCCAGGCTCCCGCCCGCGCGTGTCTCTTCACACTTCCCAGCGAGCAGAGGGAGCCGGCTCCGGCCTCAGCCAGCCCCAGAGAGGCGCCCTCATAGCGCAGTGGCTGGCTGAAGGGCTCCTCGAGCACGGCCAGAGCGGACGCCGAGGCCGAGAAGGCGCGGAGAGCGAGCGAGGGCTGCTAGCACGTTGTCACTTCGGCGGAGGCGGCGCCGCCGCCTGGTCACTTCGCCCCGGCCCCCGCCCCCCTCCCACCCCAGCCCGCCGCCTCCCGGCCCCTCCTCCTCGCGTGGTCCCTCCCCCTCTCGTAGCCCCAGCCTGGAGGCCTCTCACTGGGCTAGTATCATTTACGTAACCAGCACCTCCGGCCCTCCTCCCTCCCTGCTCCCGCTCCTCCCCGGGCTGGGGCTGTGCGCACCGAGCGCGCTCCAGCTGCTCCTGGAGCTGGCGCTCCTGCGATGTGCACAAGTCCCGCGATACTTGGCAGGCACGGTCCCCGAGAGCCACCGTGGGGTCAGCTCTCTCCCCGGAGAGCGCCTCGCGACCCCTAGCTGCCTTGGGTTCCCGTAACGCCAGAGCCAGCTTGCGTGCACCGTTCGCCCAATACGCCGCGGAGCCTTTTAGAGGGGAGCTGGAGGATCAGAGACTGCCCTCGGGGTAAACGCCGGCAACCTCACCCTTGCCGTCGGCTCTCCAGCGGAGACATGCTGTGGGGTACTTGAGGCTTCGGCGCCCTCCGCAGAAACGACAATTTGGCCTCTTGTTGGTTACAGTCCCTACACCTTGGCAGGATCCTAGTGTTCTAGTTGGCGGTGGCTGCTGCCACCGAACGCACTGTAAGAGTACTGGGCACACAGAGCGCTTCCTTGTGCTCTCAAATTTTTATGAAGAGGTAAAGAAAAAAGTGGGGTTTTGAATACCTTTCTCAGGCAGGAAGATGTGATATTAAACACACACTCACTCCGAAGTGCCTGGATGTTTGCATGTCTAAGTTAATGTGTAGTGCCAGTACCCCATGGTGCTGAGTTTAAATATGTGTAAAGATTTTATAACAGTGCCTGGCACAAGGTAGAGACTTAAGATGGAGGCATTATTAGCATCTGAAAGACTTGGGACCTATCCCCTACTGCCATGGGAGAGGAACTCTTCTAGGGAATTGGGATTACCGAGTTCAAAGTACCTGCTTGGCTATTTATTCACTGTGGCTGTTGGCTAGTTTTGACCCCTCGGATGTTAGTTTTCTTGTTTGTAAGAAGGGTTAACGGGTCCTTTCTTCTCACAGTGTGACTTCACATGTCTTGTAGCATGTTTTTGGCAGAATTCGGGAAGGATGTAACAGCTACATAAAAATAAGAGCCACGTTTCACAAACATATGTACTATTAATTATAACCTAGTATGTCAATGGCATTCTTGATTATACACATGAAAGGCAATTTCCAGACATATTATCTTTACATCTTTTCATGAGTCAATTATCATTTAAATTTGTATGTTAATAACTATATTAATGTCTCCTCCTACATTGTCCATCCTGTCACACCATCAATTATGGAGCATTTACCAGAGATGCTTCTGGGAATGTGTGAGTACACAGGGTTCCACTCATAAGACTCTAAAATGTCTCTGTATTCCTCCCTCTAGTGAATTCCAGTCCTACCATCAGGTCATTTACCTCTGCGTGGCATACTGAGAGAAACTCTGGACCAGGTAAAAGATCAGGGTTCTGATGCTGATACAACTACTAACTAGCCTTATGTATTTTGAAGACAAATCAGCCCCCATTTTCACATTTTTAATCTCTTTAAAAGGCACAATACCATTTTGCGATCTTTGTGGTAATACTTAACTTAGGCAAGAATCATAAACTTGATCAAAGCTATTTGGGTAACTGGTTATTTACATAGTCTCAGAGTATCATGCTAGAAAGTATTGGCTTTTGCTGAATAATACACCAGTCCGAAACTTATTGGTCCCCAACGATAAACATCAATAATTTCTTAAAGCTCTGTGGGTTGTCAGGGGTGTTTCTGCCCTGGCTAGCTCAATTTGGTCTAGAGGTCTAGGATGATAGCCTCACTCGTCTGGTGACTGGCATACTTACTTGTCTTGAGGGTGTGGGACTCACCTGCAATGTTCTGTCTTTTGTTTAATCTAGCCCATCATCCTTCAATAGGTTAGCACTAGTGGTAGTTGCAGGGCTCCAGAAAGCAACAAGGGAGTGCAAGATCCAATGTGGAGCACTCTTTGAGATTCTGTGGACGTACATTTACCAATGTCTCATTAGCCATGGAAGTTACATAGCCCAAACATAGATAATATGCTCCATGTCTTGATGGGAGAAACTATAACACCACCTTTAGGAGAATGCATACATAAATGAAAATAACTTAAGGCCATTTTTATAATATACTATACATCCTTAATTACAAGGGAATAATAAATTACATGTAGTGGATAAAACTGGTAAATATCACCTTAACCAAGTGACCAAGGTTAATGTCTCCAATCAGTAACCAAGTGATATCATGAGCCTCATGATATGATGCACTGAGAAGTACATAACTATTTATTTAGGATTCCAGACAACAACAAAAAAGTATAATTGAATGGAATCGTGAGAAAGCAAAGACAGGCCCAAATTAAGGAAAATTCTACAAAATATCTTGTCCATACTTTTCAAAAATGTCACGGTGATGAAAGTTCAAGAAAAGCTGAGAAACTGTTCCAGACTAATGGGGATTTAAAAACCATGACTACTAAATGCGGCGAGTGATCCAGAACTGGACGGCAAACTGGGAAAAATATCTATTAATATAAAGGATATTATTGAGACAATCTGATTCAAAATATTAATAAAAACTATAATATTTAAACTAGAAGACTTTATAATAAAAACTAGTTTTGTATCAATATTAAATGTCCTAATTTTGATAATTGTACTGTGATCATGTATAAGAAACCCCTTGATCTTTAAAAATACATAATGCATTACTTTGAAGTAAAAAGAACATAGCAGTTGTAAGTTATTTGTAGATGGTCCAGAAATATCTATAGAGAGAATGATGAAGCAAATGTGGCAACCTTTTATAATACTATTCGTAAGTTTCAGTAAAGGGTTTATGTTAATTCTTTGTAGTAATTTTGCAATATTTTTGAAGTTTCAATACTTTTTAGAAAAATTGGGTAGTTATCATCACTTATGTCACAATAACTAATAATTCATCTGAATGAGTGTTGGAAGTTATTAAAAAGTTATATTTTTTCAAATAGAAAGTTAGGCATTATTTTTAATCAAAGTGGAGCTATTGCAAGTATTTAGATAAATGGTATGACCGGTATTGTACAATTATTGGCTATAAGGCCAATATAATGGCTACCAGGCCAGTAATGTCTATTGTTCATTATATGGCCAAATGTATAAGGACTTAGCTATAGAATATACTAAAGATAGGGATGTGAGTTTAGCAGCTGCAGTTGTCCATTCTGTGATTAACCAAGGCCCTCATTCAAAAGGGAAATAAAGAAAATGAGATAGTTATATCTTGCTGAAATTAAATTACCAGGTTTCGGCAAATTATTAGGAATGAAGAAAAAAGGAAAACATATAACTTTAAGTGATTAAGACTAGATTAGTAGAATGATGGAGATGCCATTATTAAGGGAAACCAAAAGCAATAACTTTTCTTTTTCTAAAATGAAATCTAATAACATTTCTGTTTAATTTTAACATTTCAGTGGCTTCCCATTGATTTTAAGAAATTGTCGAAACTCTGTAACATGCTCTATAAGAACCTTTACTCTGGGGCTCTGCTTACCTCCTTTGTACTTAACAATGAGCTAAGCACTGTGGTAGGTGCAGAAGTCAAAGAGGAAAGTAAAGATAGCCTGCACAAAACTTAGGGTTCAGTCATTAATCCCATGGATATACACTGAGCACTTACAGCATGGCAGTTATTTACTAGGAACTAGAAATACAGCAGTGAGCTAAGGCCAAGGGTCACTGCTATATTGCCAGTGCCTAACAGTGAGCAGAAGACAATGCCTAGCACTGCCTAGTAGTGAGAAAAAAAAGACACCTTACACAAAAATTAACTCCAGATGGATTAAAAACCTAAACACAAGACCTAACACCATAAAAACCCTAGAAGAAAATCTAGGCAAAACCATTCAGGACATAGGCATAGGAAAGGACTTCATGACCAAAATACCAAAACCATTGACAGCAAAAGCCAAAATAGACAAATGGGACCTAATCAAACTCCACAGCTTCTGCACAGCAAAAGAAACAATCATTAGAGTGAATCGACAACCAACAGATTGGGAAAAAATTTTTGCAGTTTATCTATCTGGCAAAGGGCTGATATCCAGAATCTATAAAGAACTAAAACAGATTTACAAGAAAAAAACAAGCCCATTCAAAAGTGGGCAAAGGATATGAACAGACACTTTACAAAAGAAGACATACATGAGGCCAACAAACATATGAAAAAATGCTCATCATCACTGGTCATTAAAGAAATGCAAATCAAAACTACAATGAGATACCATCTCACGCCAGTTAGAATGGCAATCATTAAAAAATCTGGAGACAACAGATGCTGGAGAGGATGTGGAGAAATAGGAACACTTTTACACTGTTGGTGGGAGTGTAAATTAGTTCAACCATTGTGGAAGACAGTGTGGCGATTCCTCAAGGACCTAGAAATAGAAATTCCATTTGACCCAGCAATCCCATTACTGGGTATATATCCAAAGGATTATAAATTGCTCTATTGTAAGGACACATGCACACAAATGTTCATTGCAGCACAGTTTACAATAGCAAAGATCTGGAACCAACCCAAATGCCCATCGATGATAGACTGGACAGGGGAAATGTGACACATATACACCATGGAATACTATGCAGCCATAAAACACGATGAGTTTGTGTCCTTTGTAGGGAAATGGATGAACCTGGAAACCATCATTCTCAGCAAACTGACACAAGAACAGAAAATCAAACACTGGATGTTCTCACTCATAGGTGTGTGTTGAACAATGAGAACACATGGACACAGGGAGGGGAGCATCACACACTGGGGTCTGTTGGGGTGAAATAGGGGAGGGACAGCAGGGGGTGGGGAGTTGGGGAGAGATAGCATGGGGAGAAATGCCAGATGTAGGTGATGGGGAGGAACACAGCAAATCACACTGCCATGTGTGTACCTATGCAACAATCTTGCATATTC